GGATGTTTTTCTGAGGCCGCAATAAAATCTATATAGTATGACAACAACTATAATGAATGATACCACTGATGCGAAGGGACCCTACATTCTTTCATTTTTTCAATTCAGGACCAGAAAATTTACAGGGTGACATCGCATTTCTCGGTGCAATCGTTATTCTAAAAGGCGGCGTTTCGCCCTACTGGTCCAAACATCCAGGCTTTAACTGGACCATTGATGGTTCGCCGGACTTTCTCCTGGACTTTTCCGTCTTCTCCTCAGTAATATGCACTGGCAAACTCCTTGGATTCACCAAGGACAACAAGCTTAGCCGTTTTCTCACATTCCTCCAGGTAAGCATGCCTCAATATTTAATGCAGTTTGGCGGAAACCACCTCGTCTCGTTATACATCTGCACATTCTTCGAACTACCTGACACACTTAAGAGACACAAAACTTAAAGCAGTTACAGACTTCCTTTAATTTACTTTAAAATTGGCACCATTTCTTAAATAAACTCGCAATCCTGATAAGTGTGAGTCCGGCTGTATATTGAGTATTTCCTTTTTGTTAACTGGAGCGGTATTAACCGAAACACTTTTCTTCTTTTCCACGTTTGTAGACTTTTAACTGTGCAGAATGTTACATCAAAAAGGTATCATTATTTGCCAACATTTTGCACCGACTAAGGCAAATTAGGTTTGGATGAGCGTTCCTTGCCGTTCCTGAGTCAGTCATGATTATGTGCTTAAGGCAGCCATACGAAATATTAAATCACTTTAAGTTAATCCGCTCATAGACATACTACCTGGATATGACCTTATATTCCGCTCGCCATGGTCATATACGCAGAACAAAAGTGGCTGGTTTGTATTTATTTACTCCTATGTTCTGCTCGTTGTCGTCGTCAGTGAATCCCACTCAACACCGGGGCCGGATGACTCGACTTCGAATTCAGGGTTTATGCAAGGCCGACTTACGCCGGCTAATGAGTCAGAAATACTTACTTGTACTTGTAACGGCATTCACCTCGGGCGGGTTGAGCCGGCA